TGGCGTTATATCAATGTCTTATTCATTTTGGTACATAAAACTTTGCCATGTATCGGCGTTTCAAAATATGTATTGAAAAGGCAAAAGCATATTAGAGAATAATATATCAATAGTAATTAGTATCATATGTATTTTCATTGTATTTTTTAAGAGTATCATCATCAAGATTATGATGATGGTGATAGAGAAATATATTCGAATGGGTGCTGGCCAGTACTTCAAAGATTTCATCAGAGCGCACAGGTAATAATACAAATCGGTATATATTTATAGTATAATTTCAGTATTAAAAAATGACCTTTGAGCATTCTGATTGGCTCCCTCATGCAGTAGTAAATCTGAGGCAATAGTTACTGCTTCATACCGCTATAAGCAGTAATTATTGCTTTTAAAAAAAAGGGATGAAAATTAGACGGAAGTAGGCCTAACTTATTTGTGCAAACATAATAATAAAATAAACGCGTGTATAATAGGTGTATTTATAAATTTGTGATTATAACATTTTTCAATCTGGAATTATATTTAAACAATTATAGTCGCCTCAGGCTCGATGATTACAAGCTTATTTCACTTCTCCTTCGGCTCAGTCAATATATAGGTTTGTAATCATCTCGCATTCGGTGACTAATTGTTAAATGGTATATGATTTGTTTGCATGGGTATCATTGTACTCTCATCTACTAGCCTTCGCTCTTAAAAGTGTTTTAGAGTGTATAATTTTTCATTTATGCTCAAAAAGAATAGAGAAAACGAAAGAACACAGAAAAAAGGTGCTGCAGAAGAAAAAAGCATTGGAAGCGAAGAAGGCATCTATCTCCTTTTCACAAATAAAGGAAGATGATAGTCCTGAAAAGAGAAGGTCACACCAACAGCTCCAAGATTTTGTACGAAAATATGATGAACCCGCGTTTGTTAAAGCCTATAACAAGAAAAAATTACTAGTGTTGTGCCGTGCTTATGGTGTTGGCTCAATTAATTCAAAAACAACGAAGGTGAACATAGTTAAAAAAAACTAATTCCTGAGATCCAATCGCATGCACAAATTCCAAATCGAAGATTTTTAGATAATATGTAATGTTTAATTGGATTACTGATTTACTACATGCATGCATGGTGTTATAGTAGATATATGTATACAAGGTCCAGATAGAATTAATTGACATTAAATAATTTTGTTAACAGTTCAACTTAATTCTGGTTATATGTATTTTTAATACATCGAATGTAATGATTAATAGTATACGTGCACAACGACACTTTCGTTCTATTGGATTATTGGTATCAAATATATTTTAAGCTTAGTCAAATATATTTTAAAGCATTAGTTAAGGATTGACCGAAAATAACACAATATATGTAGTGACTAGCCAATAAAGTAAATTAGAAGCATTAAAAATTTAACAGAAATTGATATCATACATACATATACATACATATACATACATACATATATATATATATATATATATATAATACTACAGACGGTACCGTTTCGGCCTTATGGGCCTCATCAGTGTAGTGCTGATGAGCAGGATGAAAGTAACTGCTATTTACAGTTACCTTTGATGCCTCACGATTGTGGGACATCAAAACCATGCCAGA